TAATCCACGGAAGAATCCTTAAGATTTCCCTGAGGAATATTGAACCTTTTCTGCTGGGGGCATTTGATGAACCACCTCATTTAGACATCAGGAGCAGTGAATTTACTGACACAGGGAGTGCACTGATGCTGTGCTGGTAAAGCCACCCCACATCCCTTCCCTGGCTCATCCAAGATTTCCAAAGGAAGGATTGCTGGGGGATTGCTGGGCACTGTTGGCATTTCTGCTGCTAAAGAGATGCCAGTAAAGAAATTGCTCAGTGTTGCAAACCTCTAAAAACCAGAGGCTTTGCTGTGTGAAATGCTGGTTTTTTCTGCTCTCCTTGGGCCTTGCTCGCTCCTCTGCAGCCTCAATTCCAAACACTCCACGTCACCACTTGGAAAGTCGGCGGCGTGCAGGACTCTCCCCTGTGCTCTCTGTTTGCACAGCCTCCCCCAGCCCCAGCACATGTGCTTCCAATTCCAGGGGCTCTGCAGCACTGTGTGCCTGGGGCTGGGGCTGGGCTGACCCCTCTCCTCCGTTTCGGGGAGGGGGAGCCGCCTCTTCTCCTCCGCCTCTCGTATTTGGGATGTTTTTGCTTCCTGCAAGGCTGCAGGCAGCGTGCTGGGGCCAGGCTGTGGTCACTGGGAGCACCAGAGCTCTGGGGAGAAGGCAGCCCTTGGCCTGTGTGTGTGTATGTGTGTGTGCCAGCCAAGGAACACAGCGAGCAGATGTCCCGGGGCACAGCCCTGAATGACCCCCGGGACCGCGGCCGCCTCCAGCCTCCCCTCCCCGGTGCGAGGAATGCACGGAGCTGCCTGCGGGGAGACGCTGCCTGCTGTTTGTTTTGGCCTGAAATGCTGTCAGGGTAACTGCTGGTCTGGTGTGGTCTGAGCATGAGTGGGGCCTGTCGACCTTTTTGGGTTTTTCCTGTTATAAATGAGAGGCGAAAGTCTCGATATTCAGAAGAATTTAGGTTGTTTTATTTGATATAGACGGAGCAAGCAGCGCTGGGGAACGTGAGGGGTCACTGCTCACTCCACGCTCCACCCAACCTTGGTTTGCAGCCTCTTCTTATACTGTGGGTTCTCGTTGTAATCAATAATTTTTGGTTTTTTGTTGTCATAAGCAGTGGTGGTCGAATAAATATCCTTACACAAATTGACAAAGCCTTTGGGTGATAATCAGTCACAGATAGCCATCTGGTCCTTGTAGATAACCACCAGGGAAGTTCTGGGAGTCTGGTTTTTGGGATAGGCAGTATTGATCAGACAAAGGCAGGAAGGGATATTGGGAAGTCTGATTTTGCAAGCTGAGAGCCGATACATCTTATTTGGAAAACATAACATAACATAATGTAACATAATACAACATAATATAACATAACAAGGTGATTTTAAACAGAATGATTTTATCATATAATTTCCTTTATCTTTTTATCATATAATTTCCTTTATCTAGTGTCCATGCTTCACTTCACAGCTTAGTATTCTGGTTTATACAAACCCCAATGCTTTTGTGATCAACACGAATCTTTTATCAATTATCACATCCTCACAGCTCTGGGATAAAACAACAGCTTTGGCTCGTCCTGCTTTACCAGCAGTAAAAACTGGGGAAGAGAGTCCAAGGGGACATTAAAGCCTTCGTGTGCCTGTGTCTGTCATCACTCTGAACAGCACCAGTGGGGGAAGATGTTTGCTTTCTCAAGAGTTTAATTTTAAGGCCCACTGAACCTTAAATTCTAGTGTGGGATTCGTCTGTGGTGTCTCCAGCACTTGACTGCTTCAGCTCCCAAGTCACGCACACACAGAGCCCTGCAAGTTTGACTCGGGATGTGATTCCTTGGCCATAAAAGTCCTTGTCAGCCTCCTGCTCCAGCAGCTCAAATTCTGAATCTGCTGATTGCAAAACGCTCAGGGCTTTTCTCGTTAGCACTGGGTGGGGGGCAAGCTCTTGTTTTTTCATAGAGAAACTCGGTAAATCGTTTCCTATAAGACTCCAGCAAGATGAGATCCCAACAGATGTGAAACGTCTCAAATTCCTGGAGTGAGGGAGTGGCTCAGAGCTGCAATATGGCACTCTGTCCTTCCTGGTTTTAACTCCCTAACATATTATTCCTGCACATGCCTAATTTGGACACATTCTGTTTTCAGATACTTTGATTTTAGCACAAAGCAGTGAGGCAAATGAGGGATTATCCAGCTGAAGGAACACTCTGGTGTAGTTCTGTGGATGTTCATTCTCTCTGGATTGATTTGAGTAGGAAGTTCTTGCTTATTTGGGTTGTTTTTACCAAAATGAAGTGTTTCAGCAGTTCAGGTCTGGCTGAGAGCAGCTAGAGCAGGGGATTTCTGCATGCACGGAGGCTTTTTTTCCAACAGCCTGGATTTTGGGAAGAGTGGGTGAGTCAGAGCCACAGGGACAAACCTTCCTGCTTGCAAAAATCCCATTTTCACTCCGAGGAGTCAGACAGAGGTGAGGATGACTTTCAGGAGGATCCCACAGAATGGAGAACTCGTCTGCAGGGGACAGTTCCTGCTGCAGGGAGGATCAGACAGGCCCTGACACCAGGGCTTGCTCTCTGGTTCTGTCACACCTGCACCCAGGAAATGTTTTGATCTTAATGAACAAAAGCAGGCAGAGCACCCATCACAGGGGAGCTGGGAATTGTTCAGACAGGGCACCAAGTGTGTGTGGACACCACTGGAATTCCTGCTCTCCACGCTGTGTGGAGGAAAGTTTTTCTCAGCAGCAGATTCCAGGCGTTTCCTGAGTCACTTCCAACATCTGGAACTGCAGGAAAAGTACAGGTTGCATTTCTGTTCCCTCCAGGACATGAGGAATATTCTGTTGCAAATCTCATCTTTGATAAAAAGCTAAAATAAATCATAGAAAGCGTTACTGAAGGCCAAACTGCAAAATTGTTCCTGAAGAAGCTGAAATTTTTGAAGGCCTGTTCTGGATATTCACATTTTAAGTAAGATTGGTGCTGGTATTGGGCTAAGCTTATCAAGGATTATTGTGCATTTCTTTTACATCTTTTCTGGGCTCTTCCTCCTAATTCCAGCAGTTAACTGATACAGCACAACCTATTACTTTTTAAATAGCAGAACCTATTTTTAGCATTGCTCCCTAATTCAAACCTCCTGAACCTAATGAAAGATTTAAGTCTGGAAGCTCTTTAGCTTTTAGGATGGGAATTTGCCTACAAATAAAAACGTCAGCAAAGCATTTATTTCCCCTTTGATTCTGCTTGTCTGGTAATGTATATTTGATGTTGGGATACGTGGGGGTGTGTGTACACACATGTAGTTGTAATGGGTATGGAACCACTCTGGGCTTCAGCACAGCATGGGCATGAAAATGTGGGATCCTGGAAGGATTCAGGCTGGAAACACGGGCTAGGGGGGACAGAATTGGTGACAAAGCCAAACAGTCTCAGTTCCCTCAGCATTTGCTGCTTGCTGCTCTGCACAGGCTCCTTCCCCATTCCTGCACCCATTTCAAAGGGCTGATTCTGCTGAAATCCAAACCCTTTTATGACACACACTCACAATGAGAAGTCCTTAAAATGTTGAAATGAGTTCTGAGGAATTCCTCAAGCCTGACATCTTTGCTGAGGGATCCAGCCTGTTGTCCGTATTTTTTTTTATATTTTTTTTCAATTTAAACTCTGCCATGTGTGCAAGGCAGAAGGGGCTGAGAGGGCTAAAAACCCCTTTGAATTTTCCCCTGGCCAACCTGGGCACAGTCTGGATGGCTTCGGGCTTGATTAAAATCTTTGTTGCTGTGTTTTCCTTGGAGATTTCAGCACGGGGAGGGATGAGAGGATGGCTGTCCTGGTCTGCGGGGTGTGGGGTGAGTTATTGTCCCGGGAACAATGCAAGGAACAGTCACACAGGGTCACTGCTCCTCCCCTCTGCTCTGCCACCCAAAGCCTTCGGGCCAACGCTTCCAAAAGCATTAAAAAAAAATTAAAAAAAAAAAAAAAGAGTTGGGATAAGCAAGAAAACCAATCCCACCTCCTCCTGGAGTCATGGGATGGCAGCTGAGTAAAGCCAAAAGCAGCGATTCCCAAATTCTTGAGAGCACACAGAGCTGCCCACAGGATGTGGAAGGGGAACGGGGTTTGTTGGGCAAGAACTGCGGAGCCTGCAGAAATGTGGCATTACTTCTGGATGTCATTTCGGGGAAAATCATCCCTTTTTTTCATCCATTGTGTGCAGGATCCAGCCTCTGAGGCCACCCAGGGCTGCAGAGCTTTGTGAGGGAAGGTTTGGAAGAACAGAGGGATAAATAAATCATCAATCCCTTTGCAGCCCAGCCCGTGTGTCCTGGGCAGTGCTGCTGGAAGGGGCAGACATTCCCTGGCAGTCTTTTAAATGAAACTTCAGCTGGGGAGAGCAGAAATGGTTAAAATCATCTCATTTATTTGGGCTGTCCTTGCAAGGTCTCACCTACACAAATACAACTTCAGGGAGTTTATTCTTCTTTGGATAATAAAACCTGGAAGGGACCTGCATCTGTTTCCAGCCCCTTTTTCTCTCATGTGCCATAAATTCCACCTAAATCATCATTTTATCCCCGTTTGCTGCAGCAAGACCCTATCCAAACTGTGAAAAAAAGTGAGATTTCTTCATGTTGAGGGTTCTTGGGATTTTTTTGTGACTAATTTCTCTACCTGGCTCGTATGTTGGGTTATTGTAAGAGGCTGGGTGACTGGAAGGAAATAAAGTGAGACTCCTGTCTAGAGAACCTGCAAAACTTAAACTCCTGTGGGAGTTTTCAGGTACTGGTAAAACATTAATAATGATTAAAGAGGCAAATCAGGGGGGTTTAAATAAGAGGTTTTTTTTCTAATAATGTTATGGAAAAGTTTGCAGGGTGTGTGAGTTTGGTTATTGGTTCAGTGATGAATCAGGTCCAAATTATTTCTGATTCTTTGAAAAAAATAAAGGGTGCTCTAGGAATTTGTCACTATTCCACTGGATGTCTCCCTGGTTTTTCTCCCCATTTAGGTGAGGAGTTTATAGGCACAGGGCTCTTCCTCAAATCCTCAGATATTTCCTGGGAGCAGCAAGAATCCCTCTAAGGTGTGAGCTCTGCTAAACCCAGCCTGTCTAAGCCAGAAAGGAACGAAAACTCTGTTATAATCTCACAAAATATTTATAATTTTACACGAAAAACCTCGGTCAGGACTAAGTTTAAAAACACAGAACACCTGCGAACCCTGAGAGCTCCACAGGGCTTGGAAAATGTCGCAAATGTCGCGTGAATGTCCCTGCTGTGGTGCCTAAATTAAGGTTATTGATCAGTGATGTAGCAGTGTCGGCGCTAATGAGGGCAGCCCGCGGGCTCCAGGGAAAAGCTGGATTCGTCCTGGGCAGGAATTCTAATTGTATTTGGCAGATGGAGCTTTGGGAGCAGCGAATCCAGTGATAAACTGGATTATTTTTCCCTTTAAAGAAAGCAGCTAACGTGGCTGCAAAGGAGCTTCCACTGCCAGCACTTCAGGAGGAGAGCTGAAAGCTCCACCTGTCCTAAAATTCTACAATTGAATGTAGTAGATGATAATTCTTGAAAAAGTATTTGGGAAGGATAAATTAAATATCCACATCTCAGCAGCCGAGGGATGGTCATGGTTACTCAGAGGCAGATGTGAGAATGGGGGCAGGAAGAGAAGGAATTTTCTAAAAGTTGGTCCTGAAGAAATGGGGGAAAAATGAGGGAGTGTCGTGTTGGATGTAAATTTTCTGTCTGTTTTTCACATGAAGGTGCAGGATCCACTATTTAAATAGCATAAAAGTATATTAATAGTAGATAATAATATTAAAATTATGGGGAAAAATCCAGCCTGTGTAACTGGAGCCTCTTTAGCTCCTGCTCTGTCCTCCCAGGGCTGTGTGCTCAGACACACCAGGGACTTCCAGTGCTGTAAACTTCCCCAATTTCCAGCAGTTTCGCAATATTTGGCCCAGGAAGCAAAATATTTCCTCCCACTTCATTTCACAGGAAAAAAAAAAAAAAAAACAACAAAAAAAAACAGTTTTAGGGTTTTGTCTTGAACAGCAAAACTGCAGAACAACTGCAGTGGCCTGTGAAGATTTACACCCCAAAGCAAATGGCAACGGTGCCACGCAGAAATTTTTTTGGGAAATTTTTGATTTTGACCTGGGGGATCCCTGACCCCAATGCCTGTAACTTTCCCTTGCTCTGCTCTTGTGGGTCAGTTTTAATTGAGTTTGAACTTTCCATGGCGAGTCCACGTTTACAAGTCAGAGATGGACAAAGCCAAGAACTGATCGTGGATTTTTATCCAGTTTTCGCATGGATGCAGAATAAAAACTCCAGCTCCCTGAAAATCCTAAAGCAGGGCTGAACATCCCATTTCCCTGCGGTCCATCACCCCCTGGGCCAGGGTTTAGGGAGTTCGTTCCCGTTTTGGGGGATTTTCTCTGACATTCCACGGGCTCTGCTTCCCTCTAGTGGGTTCGCTTGGCACTTCCCTTTTTATTTCTTTTTTAGATCCTGACAAACAATTTTTTGACAACTCACATTATTTTAATTTTTTTTTTTTTTTGCGTTGCTATTCAAAGCTACTTCCCAATCTTACTTATTCCACGCTTTTCTTAATTTTAACCCCCTGGTTTCTTATTTCCCAAATACATAAATATCATCTGGTGCTAGGGAAGAGACTCCAAGCATTTCTCAGACTGACGAAGGGATAAATTGAAGCTTTTCAGGGTGGAAATTCTGCTTTGGCAATCAGGTAGTGAGAGGTGAGGGCGGAGCTGGGGAGGTTATCTGGAATTTGGAATGTGCAGAGGGTGTGGGAGCATTGACAGCTCCGGAGTGTGAAGCCACCTGCCCGTGCTTAGGTGTCAGTGTGAAAACGCCGGGGTTTGTAGAGATGTCTCCTTAAATCATCTAAAATCTGTGAGTTTGCTCGGATGCTGGGAAGAAAATGAGGAAGAATCCAGCAAAAAAACTGTAAAGGGGTGGTGTTTGCACCACTTAATTAGTGGCTGGTTTGAAATTTCTTCTGTTTTCACTCAGAGCCAGGATTAAAAAACACGGAGATGAATTTTGTCGTGTTTGGGTTTGGTTGTTTATTAAATCTTATCTAAAGTACAGAAAGTTCAGCAACACTTCCAGCTACCAGCTAAAAGTGAGGAAAATGGAGGTGAATTTAGTTGGCTGCAAGGTCTCTTAAAGCTAAACTGTTTAATAGAGGATTAACACCTATATAATTTATATTTTTGACCCAATAACCAAACTCCTGTGTCCCTCAGTGCAGCACTGACTGTCCAACCAGAAACTACAACCTGAAACCATGAAGAAGAAGAAGGAAGAACATTGAAAGGAGACATCACCCCAAATCCTCCATTTTGTCTCCTAACTATTACTATATTCTCTAAAAACCTCAAATTTAAAACCCTTGAGCGTGTGAAGGATTTATTTAACTACACACCCATCACTCAATTTAATACCATCACTCAAATTTGGAAGTCTTCTCCAAGGCATCAGATAAAAAGCATTGTTCTCCAAGGTGTCAAAAAAGAAAACACACAAAGCTCAAAACTTCCAGATTTCTGGGATCCAATAAAAAAAAAAAAACAAACCCTGGCATCTGAGCACTGGTGTTTGCCTTGCAGCTTGCTGTTCTGTTTGGCTCTGCGAGGCTCAGACCGAATTCAAGAGAGTGGCAGAAGAAAACGTGACCCTGCCGTGCCACCACCGCCTGGGGCTGCTGGAGCAGGGCAGCCTGGACATCGAGTGGCTGCTGCACATCTCCGAGACCGTGCAGAAAGCGGTGGGTTTGCCGAGAAAAATCACTTTATTTCTGCCTCCACGCCACCAGCCCTCGGTTGAACAGCAAGCCTGTGATGATCTTTGCGGGTTATTCTGATGGTGAGAGCAGTGTTTAGAAAAAAGAGCTGATTTAGAGAGATTTAGAAGGTGGAGAAGTTATTTGATAGCCACGCATGCTGTGCTGGAACAGGTTGTGTTACAGTGGATGATATTTGTTTTTTTAAAATGTAGTCAGTCTTGATTAGATCAAGTTCAGAAGTGCCCTCCAGGCTTTCAAAATAACCTTGGATTTTGCAGGTCCAGTTTTCAAATCCTTGGTTTCAGTACAAAACACAGTAGTTCAGTCTTTATAAAAATTAGGTCTGCAGTGACTTAAATTAGCACAGCCAAACCTCCAGACTGCTCTGATGCCTTGTGCCACAAACTGATGCCTGTTTTGACACGTGTGTAAGTGCCCAGCACAAATCTCCAGCAGAAATAAATACACTTTTTGCATCATTCTCAGGCTAGAACCCCAGGTTTGTTTTCCCACCCTGCCCCAGGCTTCCTGTGCGATCCTTAACCAGGATGTGCAGCTCCTGGAAACGCTCGGATTTGTTGTTCCATGGAAAAATAAAATGATAGCTAACCCATCTGCTCTGCTGCTCAGGTGATCACCTACTCCGGGGGCCGTGTTTATGATGACCTGAACGAGGAGCAGAAGGGCCGTGTTTCCTTCACCTCCAACTTCCTTGCTGGAGATGCATCCTTACAAATCATCTCCCTGCAGTCCAGCGATGCAGGGAAATACATCTGCAAGGTCAAGAACGCTGGGCAGTACGAGTGGGCTCGCATCACCCTCAAGGTCGTAGGTAAGGGCAGTTTCTTGTTCTCCCAAAGGGAAAAAAAAGAAATCCAGACTCACTTCCTGGGGAGAGATTTGTTTCAGCGGGGTATAAATACACAAAGACACCTCAAGATCGGGTTTCAGCCCCCGAGTTTATATCTGCCTTTGCATTTTTATGGCAAAGGACAGGCCACAGGAGGATCCTAAAGAACTGGTTTGAGGTTGGTGTGATTAAACACAAACCCATTCTTTCCAAATGACCGCTATGATCTCATCACCCAGAGCAGGCTGATATTCCATCTGACCCTGCCCACAGCTCCTGCTGGGGACTGGCACTTCGTGTCCCAGCACCCCGACCTGACCCCAGCCCGTGGAGGTGACAAATGAGCAGCTGAGAGTTGGCATTTCCCTCCCCTGATTTCAGTTTATTGCTCAGCTTTTCACACACTCCGTGATCCCGGGGAAGAATCCCGGGCTTTGGGCAGAAGGAAGAATGGAGAAGCAAAAGGAGGGAAAGATGTTCTCAAAATTGTGCCTGGAAGAGGAATGTGGTGATAGAGTTCCACTGAGGCAAAGAGTGTTAGAATGTCACCGAGCCAGCCAGATCCTCTA